CTTCTGCTGATTGTGTACCTCCATTTTGGTTCCGAGGCGCCGCAAAATAGCCCTTGGATGGCCCACGATGGACCCCCAAGGCCTCTGGATCCCCCCGAGCCCGCCAACGGGCCAACATCTAAGTCGGGCCTGTCCCCTTACAGGCCGAGCTTGCACGACAAATCTGGAATACCCAAAACGTACACCAAAAATACCCAAAGATTGTCAAACAATAGTCCCCAGAGTATTGTTTGACTCCTTTTGAATATTCCCCCTGTAGCGAAACGCGCCCGACTTAACACTTACTCGCCCCTGCGAGTGGGGGGAACCGACATCCAGGGCCACCCTCTTAAGACCGACGCCATCCAACATGGCCCCAAGGCCATCAGGAGGTCCCCAAATAGCTCCAAGGGACCCCCCCCCCAAAAAAAAAACAAAAAAAAACACGGCCCGGGCAAAAAGGCCCTAAGATGGCTGCGCGGGTCCTCCAGGGCGCTCTCGCAACAAGAAACCCGCGATGGCCTACTCCTCCTCTTCCTCCTCCTCCTTCTTTCCTTCCCTCCTGCCTCCTCTTTCCCCTTCCGTTTTCCTCTTCCATCCCTTTTCCCCTGCCACCCTCTGCCTTTCCTTCCTTCCTTTTTCTTATTCCCTCTGCCACCCTCTTGCATTTTTTCTCGTTTTTATCGTTTTGTTATTGGGCAGGCCGCTGAGCGTGCGCAGCGCTCGTGGCGTCAGGTCCTCCTCCTCCTCCTCCTCCGTCTTCCGTCTCCTCCTCCTCCTCCTCCTCCGTCTTCCGTTTCCTCCTCCTCTTCGTCCTCCGCTTTCGCCTCCTCATCCTCCTCCTCGTCATCCTCCTCCTGCCTTCCCTGCCTCCCTCCTCCGCCCGGTCCTCCTCGTCCCCCGCCTCGCCCCCCACGCGAGCCTCAGAGAGGGCCCCCAAAAGGCTCTCATGGTCCACCCCTCGCTCCTAAACATGTCTCAATTCGTCCTTGCTGCCCGCTTTGTGATACTGCATATGTCGTTTCCTCCCTTGCCCCGTCAGCGCTCCCGGGCAGCGTCGCTGGATGGGCTGATGGGGATTTTTCCATCGCGGCCGCAAGCGGAAACGCAGGCGGCGTCCGAAGTCAGCCCGGGCTTCGAGCCAAACGTAATTACCTAAGCGCGCGAACTAACGGCCGCCGAAACTGCCGCCGAGGGGCGCCGAGGAGCGACGCCCGGGACTGAAGGCAGAGCTGCACGAGGTGCCAGGTGTGCCAGGCGGGTGAAGTGCAACCATTCCAAGGGCGAGACCACCGGGAAGGCAAACGAATTGTACCTTGTCGCGCCAGGCGCCAGAGGTAAACGAGCCACTTGAGCAACGCACGGCACAGCGTGGGGCTGAGCAAGCAGCCCAGCGCACCTGTGTCGCATGCCAACAGTGGCAACCTCAGGTGGTTGCTGATGGGGATCAGCGATGCGTCAAGAAGATCGGTTTCTGCCAGGGGGCGAACAAACATAACCACGCATTTGATATGTGCCCGCCACCGGGCCGTAGGCACCGAGTGGAGCGCCCTCGGGTGCCACACAGCCCACAGACAGTGCGAGTTACCAACTCTCCGGAAAACGCGTGGCCCATGCCGCGGCCCCATAGGAGCAACACGACGTGGTGAGCTCAGAACTGGCTTTCTCAGAAGATGGCGCCCCCTGGAACAGAGTCCCCCTCCACCACAGCCACCATTTCTGCCATCCTCACAGCTCTGTCAGTGCCCTCCCATCTTCAAACTCGTCTTTGCTCTCGCCCTGACCCTATTCGACATGCTCCGTACTTTCTCATTACCAGATTTCGGGTCTCCCTCGGGAGCTATGAGACGCTCCGTGGAAATCACCACATTGCTTCTCCAGAAGCATCAAAACATGGCTCGGCATCTAAACTTCCGACATGGCTCGAGATGGCCCGAAGGGGCCCGTCCTCGGCATATCGAGCGTTTCTCTGGCAACGCTGAAACCCGAGGGGCCGACTTCACTGAAAACAAAGTTGTCTATTATGACTTCCGCATGCCCCCGCATTCTCGGTCTTGAGACCGCCCGACCTCGCAGACGACCATGAGGTCTCGAGGATCCACCCAGGAGGGTCCCGAGGCCACTAAAATGCACCATGAGCTCCACAAGAAGACCCAGAGAACGGCCAAACAAAAAATCTGGAGGGACCCCAAGAATCCTCCCCCAAGATTGACCCCGCTATACGGCCTGCCTCGTTCTCTTCCGCCGCCGCCTCCTCCTCCTCCTCCCCCTCCTCCTCCTCCTCCTCTTCCTCCTCCTCCCCATCCCCCCCCCCGCGCATCCCCCCTTGGCGTGCTAGCAACGGGTGCCGAGGGAAAAGGGCCCTGGACCGCAGGGGCAGCTGCTGGAAGCTTCCCGAGTCTGGACCACCGCCGCGAAACGACGAAGGCGAGGAGGGAGAGGCAGACGCAGAGAACTGGATGCTCCAGCTGGAAGGTCTCTGGAGGCGCCCTGGAGGTGCCTGGGTGCCTCGGGAAGCCCC